GCTGTGGCACAAGGGGCAGGAGTTTGGGGAGTCAGGCCGTGGCCTTCACTTGCTGGGGTGAAGGTGGGGAGCTTAACAGCTCCCGCCCTGACGCCTGCCCTTAAGGGCTTGTAAGTGATTCTGGCAGGTGTTCTGGTCCTGAGCCGCAGGAGAAGAAACAGCAGAGCCACGCGTGGCCGCTCAGAAGTCAGCCTGCCGTACCTGCGAGCGTCCAACAGCAAAACCTCCCGCCTTGCTCTGTTTCAGCACAATCTCACATCTCTCCTTCCAGCCACCGCGTGAGGCACACAGCACTGCCCCATTTGCAGAGGAGGAAACTGAGGCTCAGAGAGGGGGAGCTCTGTGCCGGGGGGAGGGGACGCTGGCCTCTTTCTCGAAGCAGACATGGGGGGTGGTCCCAGGGATGCTGTCACCTGCAGGCCGGTGTTTGTGGTGAGGACAGGGGGTTGGTCATTGACAGGCAGGACGGTGACCGTGAAGGCCACAGGATGGCTCTGGCGGTCCGTCTCGGAGGCGTTCGCTGTCAGGACAAAACCGTCTGTCAGTGTCTCGCTCCCCTCGTGCACGTAGCGGATGAGCTGCTCTTCCACCGAGGGGCAGGCCCAGGGCTGGCGGTCAGGCCCCAGCAGCACCCTCCATGTCCTGCCTTTGGTGCAGGAGGAGACTCTTTCAGGGCCTCCGTTTCTATTGTGGAAATGGGGAGAACAAGCTCCAGCTCCCGGAGGAGCTGTGAGGAGGAAAGCAGATGCAGCGTGGAAAGCAGAGGTGCTTCCGAAATGCGGCTCCCGGCTCCTCTGTGTAAACCCCAGATGGGAGTCCCGGGGCTCCCTTCACTGCGCCCGGAGCTGGCTGCAGCCCTGGGCCTCTCACAGCCGCACCCCCCTCCAGGAAAAGGCGCTGAGGGTCCTGGCTTGAGGCCCGTCCTCCTTCTGCAGGGCCCCGTGCTGGGGCGGCTCCAGCATCTCAGGCTAAGGCCAGGAGCGCAGGTATGGGACCCTCTCAGGGATTCGCCTGGAAATCCCCGGTTGGCTCAGAGATTCCTACACCCCTCTGGGGGCTGGGCTGTGAGCCTAGAACATGGGGAGACCCCTGAGAACAGCAGGTGAGATGTCTGCTCCTGTGAGCTGTGGGTCCCAAGGGTGAAGCTTCCACCCAAACCAGGGACAGAGCCCCACCCCCAACCTGCTGAGGACTTACTGTGTGACTCCGAACAAGCAGGCGCCTCTCTCTGAGCTCGGGGTTTCCCCAGGATCTACGGGGGTCTGATGCAGCTCAGGGGTTTCTGCAGTATGTTCTGGGAAGGGAGGCAGCCTCGCTGACACACCCAAACTGTTAGGCCGCGGGAGATCCGCACATGGACGTGTTGAAGCAGGAGTGATGGCTGGAAGCCTGGCTAATGCATGTCAGGGCTGGCACAGCAGCGGGCTCTTCCACAGGCTGGGAGCCGGCCTGGGCGTGGGGAGGGGCTGAGTGAGGGGCAGGAATGCTCAACAGGACAGGCACTGTCCCTGTGCAGCCCACCCCTGCCACCAGTCCACCTTGACGGCAGCCCTACGGCCATCACCCTGCATCAGAGACACACGTGGCTTCATCGACAACCCCGGGTTTTGGGGGGTACTTTATTGAAGGGGGTTTGCTTAGGCTGTGAGAAACCGGGTGGGGGGGTTGGAGAGGGAGAGAACGGTGGCGGGTGGGAGATGGGGAGACAGGAACAAACATCTGGTGTCCTCAGGGAGCTGTCTGTCCCTGCCGACTTCTTTCTCTCCCCTGCTGGGGTC